TCATGGATACGATGCGAAAACTCAGAGGGAAAAGCAAGAAACGAAAGAAAGACAGGATGAGAAATTACGCATCCCGAGCGGGCCCCCATGATGGGGGTGCAATGCGGGCGGGGGCCCGGGGGTCGGCGCTGCGGCGCAAGCGAGCGCCTGGCGCGGGCCCCGCGCCCGCGCAAGCGCGGCTTACAATAGCGCGCCTAACAGCGCCCGAGGCACGTGGATCAGGAGTCGGCCCTGGGACCCAGGGCAAGGCATGGCGAAGCACCCCGCTGCCTGCGCCCACCCCGAACGAGGCGACCCGCGTAGTGGCACGGGGCATCGCGGCGTGAACCGCACTATGTTTGGATGTTCGCGCCCGCGAGGCCCGAGCCAAAATGGCAGCGGCAAAGGCTTGAGCCAAAATGGCAACGAGGACATCATCCCCCCCCCCCTCCCCCCCCCTCCCCTCATCCTCCCCTTCCCTCTTTCTCCCCCCTTCCCCCTCCCCCCTCCTCCACTCATTCTTCCCTCCCGGCACAATCCCCCCCTTCCGCCCCTCCTCTTGCCCCCCCCCCCCCCCTCTCTTCTATCCTTCCCGCATCCCACCCCGCCTTCCACCCCTGCGCTTCTGGACCCCCCCCCCCCCCCCCCGAGCGTCGCAATGCTGGCCAAGTGTCTTCTGCCGGCTCCCTACCACCCCGCGCGCTACAGCACTCCCCCCCCTCCTCTTCCACCTCCTCATATTCATCCTCCTCTTCCCCCTCATCATCCCATCCCCATCATCATCGCCGCCCGCATCAACCACCTCCTCCATTCCCTCCCCCCCCATCGCACCCCCCCCCCCCTTCCCCGTCCAGCTTTTTTCTCCTCCTCATCCCCTGATCATCCACCCCCTTCCCCCCCCCCCATTCGCCCCCCCCCCCCCACCCCCCCCCTCCTCGTCCTCTCCGCCCCTCACCCTCACATTCCCCCTCCTCCTCCCCCCCCCCCCCCCCCCTCCCCTCATTCCCCCCCCCTCCTCCTGTCATCCTTCTCCTCCTCCTCATCCCGCGTGGGCATCTTTCCGCCCCCATCCTCGTCCTCTCACGCATCCCCCAGCCCCCCCCCCCCCCATCCTCGCCATCCTCCCCCATCTTCGGGCCGCCACCTCCTCCACATCCTCATCCTCCCCTTCCTTCCACCGCTCATCTTCCTCCTCCCCCTCTCCCCCATCCTCCTCATCATTATCAGCTAACCCCCCTCATCCTATTACGTTTCCTCCTCCTCCTCCGCCTCGTCCTCCTCGTTGTTCCTCCGCATCCTCGCGTTCCCCCCCCTCCTCCTCCTCCTCCAGGGGCCTTCATGCGCCTCTCCCGGAGCACGTTCTGGACAGACTCGGCGACGACGGCGACGCGGTGCCGGGGACGGCGCTGACGGCCCCGAGCGCCCTCTCACGCAACCCCCCGCCCCTCCCCATGACCGCCCCCTTCCCTACAGTGCATTGCTGCCCCACGCAGTGCCTCGCGCCTCCAAGGCGTTCCAAATTCGCTACATATCTATATGCATACTAAGTGAAACACCTTGTATATCCATACCCGCCCCCTCCCGCCCCCTCACTATGCATCCCCCATTGCCCTCCCATGCGCGGTTTGCACGAGCCTGAGGCCATCGAGGTTCAGGCTTCCTGTCCGTCGCCGTCGCCATCGCTGCCTTCAACGCCCACGCCATCGCCGCCGCCGCCGCCTTCGACGTCGTCGTCGTCGTCGCCGTCGTCGTCTACTAGACGACGACTCGGGCGACGACGACGACGATGGCGACGACGGCGACGACGGCGACGGCGACGACGACGACCTGGGGGGGATGGTGCGGAGGAAGGAGAATGCGGGGGAGTGGGATGCATGATACTGCTGTGTGATGAATGCCTCACCAGCTGCACAGTGCACAAAGAAAAAATGCTTCACTTAGACGCTGCTTTCTGTCGCTTGATGCGCTCTGCCTCGGCAGCGGCATTCAGGTCAGCCTCTGGGCTGGGTAGCAAGTCCTTTGACCGAGCACCTGTGTAAACGTGGCGGCTGCGTTTTATTTTTTTTTTTTTTTGAATGCTGCGCCCTATCAAGAGCCACTGTTTCATTCTGATCCTGCGCGTGTCATAGGACAGGGCAGGCTGGCCGTCCTTGCCCCTGCCCATGGCGAGGTGCTTCGCGCATGGCAGGTGCCCCTCGGCGGGGTCGACGTGGTCGAGGCAGCGCGCCCCCCAGCCTACGCAGACGCCTTGCTCGTATATCTCTCCGATCTGCCATGGGCCGAATGGCTCGGAGCGCTGCGCCTTCGGACCGCGCGCGCCCACGGCGCCGCCGCCGCCGCCGCCAGCCTTCGCCATCTTGAGGAGAGGCTGCAAGGGCGGGCCCTCGTCGCCGCCCGCGCCGAGGCCAGCGCCAGCGCCGTGAACGCCAGGGGGGGGGGGCAGGCAGGGGAGCTGGGCCTGGAGCGCCGCCACCGCCGACGCCAGCGCCAGCGGCTGGCCCTGGCGCGCCGCTGCCGACGCCAGCAGGGCCACCTGCAAGTCCTCCAGCAGGCCCCCCAGCACCGCCGCCCCCAGGCGCCTTGGGCTCGGCCTTCGCAGCTCCCTTGGCGATCACCAGCTTCGCCTTGACCCCCGCGGCAAGCTTGCCCTTGACGGCTGGCGTCTTCTTGCTCTTGGCATCCGCTGCTGCTTGCTTGGCCTCGCGCCTCGCGCTCCTCTTTTCGACCGTGCGCTTCGCCTTATGCTGCTTCACCGCCGTGCGGAACGACTGGATCTCGCTGCAGTTCTGGGCGTCGTGGGCCAGGATCCCGCCGAGCATGTCAATGAAGTCGTCCCCGAGCTCCTCCGCGTCGAGGTCGCCCTGGCCGCACTTGAGGAGGGCGACCCTGCGCGTCGCGATGAGATCTGGAAATGCAGCGAACGTCAACCCAATCAGCTTCTCGCGAGCGGCCCCCGCGGCGGCCTTGGCGGCGTCGCCGAAGTCCAGTCCCATCACGTCCGCGACGCTTATCATGTGGTCCAGGGCCAGGGGCGCGCCTGCAAGCAGCGACGCCGCCAGCGGCGTCATGGGCTCCTCCGAAACCCCCAGCGCCCTGCCCACGCCACCGATGAAGCTCACCTTGGGTATGTTAAACACCTTGTACATCGTAGGGTTGGTCACGTGGTACTCGTGGAAAGCATCCTGGTCGACCCGCATCTTGAAGTATGTCACGTCGTTCCCTTTTTTCCCACGGTCGAGATCGCATGCGAAAAGGCCCCAGAGCTGCTGACTGGTAACCACCATTGCAGAACCCGAAGCCTCCTCCACTAATATCGAGAGTTCTGGGGCCATCCTGCCATGCCACGGGCTGAGAAGATTTGGCCCATGGGCTCCAAGTTTCGCCCATGCCGAAAGCCACGTCCACGCTGAGCACGCCTTCGCATACGACTGTACATTGGGTAGGCTGCACCCGTGGCCCCGACCAAGTATTCGCCGAAACGCGGCTGGCATAAATGTCGGGTCACCTCTGAAGTTGTCGGCGATGGGTTCCTGGTAGTCGTGATGGCGTATGTTGTGGGGCACCTCCACGTCGCTGGGCTGAAACGTTGTCATACCGCGTGAGCCAGCTATGTTGCACTCCTGCTGTACCCTGTACAATATGTTCGGAGCTATGGTTGTGTTCCGCTTTGCCCTGCCCTCGCCTCGGATGTGCTGATGAACGTCATCTGGCCCGTTGGGGTCTGGCCAGTGCCCCGCGGCGGCATTCGCGGTGCGAGCGAAACCATCGGCGATGCCAAGTTTAGCAGATAATCCCCGCTCGTTCTGCCAAAAGGCCAGTCGATTGATCGGCCACCTCAACCATACTATGTCGCCCAGTAGCTGCCCCGCGTCTGGTCTGGACAGGGCCGCCTTCTCCACCAGCAGGATGAGCATCCAATCGTAATCGATAACATCTCGCCTCGCCCTCATGCGACTCTGAGCGCTCATGCCCCGACCAAGTGCTAGTCTGAACTTTCCAAGATAACAAAACAAGTCTGGCGCAATGGAGTCGTACCTCTCCTTCAACACCCTCATCATGAAATCGAATGCCTCTTTGCCGCGCTGGCCGTCTGGGTCGTCGGCCGCGGGCAAGCCCATCTCGCGGAGCTTCGCAACGTCGTTCATGCAGGTGTGGGCCGTCGGCTTGAACCCTGCCGTCCCAAAGCCAGTCTGCAGCTTGAAGTCGTAGTCCTGTCCGTGGGCGATGGATTTGATCTCGCCCGCACGGTGGCCGCACTGGTTTCTCTGCGCGCCAGCAGACACTCCAAACATTGAAAGGGCACTGTAGAGATCACCTGTTATGAATGTGAACGCCTTCTTGGTTGTGCCAGTCTGCTTCGAAGCCTCCCGTTGCACGTCTCCGTCCGCTGCCCCTTGACTCGTGCCCGCATGGATCATGCTAGAGAGGCCGCCCCCTTTTACCGTGCTCGCCGGACATCAACTTGAGCACGGCCCGAAGGCCCCACAACTCCTTCCTGTGCCACTCCCAGCAGTCGTTGATGCTCACGAAGCGCATCAACTTGAGATGAGGCCCAACCTCGTTGCAACTGCGGAGCTTCGCCATCCTGCCGTAGATCTTGGCCAGGCCTGACGCCGACGCAGCGCCCACGCCAAGTGCATCGCCGAACCTACTAGCAATCCCCAAGAACTCGGGAGAAGACTCGTTGTAAATCTGGCACCATCGACGGCAGGACTCCTGCATGCGAGCACCGCAAAAGGGCCGATGGGGGCTGAGGCACCCGAGAAGAAGGAAGAGGCATGAGGGGGCCGAGTGATCAACCGAAGCCGAGCAGGGGGAGGTCCGCCGAAAGGCAAATCTAAGATTTCTTGTTGTTATCCCAATCTTGTTTTCGAAGTATTCAGACGTCCTGGGTGGAGAGGGGCGGGAGTTCGTTCTAGCCCCCCCCCACACGCGCGCCCTCATCGACCTCGGGTGGGTCGTTCTGGCCCCATCATACGCCTCACCCCTCCTCGTCCTCAGGGGGTCGCTGGTCCCCATCCTCAGCTTTCTGACCCGAGTCTCTCCTTCTTGAGATCGAACCACTGTCCTGAACGATACGGCCCAGAGCTCATGCTGCAAATCGTGGCGAACTCAAGCACACTCTTCCACATGTAGCCTTTCTTTTTCCCCGACCATGGCCCTGCGCGCATAGCACTGTTCTTGAGAGCAATCCACAGAGCATGCATCGGGTCAAAATAGGGAACGAGCAAATACTTCTCGGCAGTGAAGAAATGCAACAACGACGAGTTGATCGAGTTCCGATCGGTCGTGTGAGTGACAATCACAAAAGGGTAAGTCCATAAATGCGGCGGTATCTCCACTGCAGCTGTCGCCTCATGTTCGTTGAAAAGAAACTGCGCTCCGTCTAGTAGGAGTCGCTTCTCACCGTTCTGAACTGGCCGCAAGTCCATGTTGGATGGGGCGCAGAAGTCCGCAAGTTGTCTACCAGTGATATGAACGAGCTCCGCGAGGACAACGCACATGGTTAAAAACGCAGCCTCCCTGTCCAGCTTGTCCGGGGCCCACGCCTCGGACAGCTCGGGGTCGTCAGCTAAGTACTGCAAGTCGATATTCTTGCGGGCCGCCTTGAAAGCAAAATCTGCGGCAATCGCGTACGAGATGGGCCTTGGGCGCCGCGGCCCCCCCCCCCCCCAGGCCCCACCCCCAGGGTGCCACCTGCTGGCTGGAAATCAGAAGCACCCATCCTGGGAGGCCAGGTTGGTCGACCTGCCCCCAGTGGGCAAAGCTGAGGGGAGGCCCCCTCGGGGCCGACCCAGGGCCGCCTGCCCCCGCAGGGGGGAGCTGGGGGGAGATCGCGGCCTAAAGGCTACCTCACATCAAAGAAAAACCTCATACAAAATCCAAGGGAATTTTTGTACATCAGGTTTCGGAGATTTGTACATCAAGGTATTCCGGCAAAAATCCATACGCAGAATCCGTAATTTCCAAGCCCCCCAGGACACCTAAACCCGATTTCCCCCCGCGTCTTTAAAAAGTTTCCCCGCTGGGGAGCCCGTGCCCCCCTGTGACGTAGAGAGGGGGGCGACCCACTGGGGTCAAGGCGCGATTGCCGCAGACCTCGCCTTCGGGCACATGTCCCCCGCGACGGTGTCACCAGCGGCGACTGCGGTGTGGGCGATCAGGCCGATGTTGTAAGAGCGCCTGGAGTACCCGCCTGGGTCCCAAGTCATGGCCAAAGTGGCCGCATGCTTGAACGAATTCTTGATTATGTCCCTGTGCGTCCTCGACATCGCGTAGCTGATCCTGCCGTCAAGGTCCTTCGACCCGATCACCGCCGTCACCGGCTGGTTGGACGAGCCAGCGACCTCCCTCGCCCGCTGCATGGCGGCGACGATTGCCTGGGGATCGAGGCGCCGACGGCGCCCCGCGCATCTCAGCTCCTCCAGTCGGCCCCGCATCCCAGGATCCTGCACGGGGATGTGGTGGTACAGGATGTAAGCTTCCATGCCGATGGCAAGCGCCTTGCAGAGGAATGACAGCAACGCCTGAGCACCGGGGCGAAATGTCTGCCTGGCCTCGCCAACGCGCGAGGACAAATCCGACGCCAGGTGCAGCGCAACTGATGTTACAGAAGTTGACTCCCCAGGCACGCGAATATTGCTGAGCTTGCCTGCGCCTGCCAAGAACGCAGACCAGCCCCTGGCAATGCGTGGGCTAGCGGCAACGACCTCTCCCCAGCCGCGGACAACTCCAGTAACGTGGTCCAGCGTCAAACGATCAGGCACCAATCTGCCCTCGAAGTGGGCATCCACAGTCAACGCGTCAGCCAGTGGGGCGCGGCTCAAGCCATCAACTGACATCTGCAACCACGCCCCGACGGTGCTCGTAAGGGGCGAACGCCCGTGGTGATCGGCAGAGTGAGCGAACTTATACAACAACCATGGCAGCATCAAGTCCGCCCTCAGCGAGACGTTGGAGACGCCGCCGCTGCCGCCGAGGTCAAACGGACCAGCATCCAGACGGCATGCGCCCCTGAGGTTCTCAAACAACCCCCTGCGCCTCTCAGACTTGTGGTAATCGCCGTAGTTCTTGATGCCGAGCTCGACCAGCCAATCCCTTGGAGCCAGTGCAATGACTGCCCGAGGTCTCGGCCTGCGACTTGGAAGACCGCATAGCCCTCCCTCGTCAGCCCCTTGATGTTCACGGCGGCCTCCTGCAAGCGGATCGCCCATCGTTGCCAGTCGGCGGCATCGTGCCTGCTGGCGTCCAGCATGGGCGGGCAAACTCCAGCCAGCCCAATCGTTCGAGCCAAAATGGACGCGGCCGGGGTGGGGGCGAGCATGGGCGGAGTGACGAAGAGGGGAGGATGAGGTGAGAAGGGGGGAGGGGATGTGGCAGTAGGCGCCGAGCTCTCGAAAGGTCGCGAAAGGGCTTCCAGAGGGCCCCAGGATCCAGGAGCGCCCCGAATAAAGCATTACCGAAACGAAGTTAAGCCACACAGAACATATACCCCATGCCTGCCTTAATATGGCCATGGAGAGGCCGCGATCGGGGCCCCGGGCCTTGAGGGCTACAAGGGGGCCTGAACAACAAAGTGCGAAAACGATTAGCACTGGGCGAGGGGTATCTCGTTAGACTGCGCTGACATTCGAATCTTCAAAGTAAGTGAACTGATGGCTACCTACCCTGGCCAAGCGAGCGCCGCTTGCGCCACGCCGAACGCGGAGAGCAGAGTCGGAACGAAACAACCCAACCGAGGTCGAGGAGGGGGCGGTCCGCAGCATTTTTATAAAAAATTGAAGTCCAAGATTTCCCATTCTGTCAAGATGGCTTTCAAATCATGCAGGTTCCCTGGTGGGATCGCTCCAGCCCCCCCGAGTGCCCGCCCTCCTCGACCTCGGGTGCATCGTTCAGGCCCCCATCATCCGCCTCCCCCCTTCGACGTCGTCCTCAGAAGGGGTCGCTGGCAGAGTATGCACGCCCTGGAACGCCGCAGTCACGCATGCCCTTGAACGCGCTGGCGCGGCTGCTGCCCGCCTACCCCGCCCGACAGCACTGGGCGCGACCAATCGAGCGATTGGCAACACTGGCGCCCACTTCGGGCCAGCGGGACGCAGCTGCAAACACAACTTTGAGACTCCAGGCCGATCAGAGAGGACATGTTATGTTGTGATGTCGTTGCGAATGCTCCTAAGTGCTTGTTACTGTTATGCGATGTTACTAACCAGCCTGCGTCTGACAAAAACTGTGCGATGCGACTGACTATGTTCGCCGCGGAGGCGATGCCGTTGGCCCTCCAGAGGACCGCTCAACATGCAACAGCTGGCTCACTCACTCTGGGTCTCGTCCGCCTTGGCCTTCTTCTCGGGCGGGCCTTCGGGCATGCATGCGGGCGCGCTGGGCTCCGAAACAGCGGGCGCAGGTGGCTTTGCATGAGACGCCTGAACAAAAGCCTCGAGCAAACCTGGTGGCATCGCCAGCTTGCCATCAGCCGTGAGCTCGAAGCCCTTGCCCTGGAACGGCGCGACGACCGAAGGCGCAGCCTCTGCCCCCGCGCCTGATGACCCGCTGGCCAGGCTGGCGGCGGAGCCGACGCTGGCGGACGCACTCGTGTCCTGGGCCGCTGGCTTCTGGTCGTCCTCATCGCCGAACAACCCCTCCTCGAACTCCTCCTGGGATGTGAACTTGGCTGACGGGTCGGCCGCCTTCGGCGTGGCCATCGATTTGCCAGCTTCCAGGAAGCCCGACGTGCTCGGGGCGGCGACGGACGGAATCCTGGCGGCCCGCTGCTGGGCCCCGACATCCACGACAGCGGCCCCCCTACGAGGGACTGGCATGCACTCAACTGGGTAGCCCAAGCGTTTTGCCAAGACGTCCGTGTTGGTGAGGTCGGCGCTGAGGTCGTTCAGGCGCGTCGGGTAGACTGTGGGGGCCCTGCTGATCTCTGCTGCAATTGCCTCCCTCATCTCTCCCTTGGACTTGGCCGTGAAGTCCTTGATCCGCGTCTCGGGCCCTAGATTGCTGGCGATGTACACCAGTTCGTCCACGGCGTCGCCGTCGAGGTTGCTGAGCAGGATGGGTGAGAAACGCCTGTTGTCGTAGCCCTGCAACGACTGGACCTTCAGCTTGCGAGGAAGGACGATCCGCGCATTGAACTTCCATGCCGCCCCGAGGTAGCGGTAGGACGTGGAGATCCGCTGCGACTCGTCTCCGAAGATGAGCTTGCAGCGGGCACTCTCGTCGGGGTTGGCCATCGTCGCAACCGAAATGCCCAACGCGGCCTGCTGCGGTGCGCGCTGGTCAAAGGCCGGAGCCGCCTGCGGCGCCGCCCTCGCCAGCGCGGGCTGGGCCTGCGCACCCTGCTGCGCTGACAGCAGCATCCTCAACTGCGCAAGGTCAACCTGGGGCTGCTGCAGCTGCGCTGGAGGAGGCGGCGCGGCGGGCGCGGCCTGGCCCATCTGCTGCATGGCCAAACGAGGCAGCAGGCTTGTGAGCTCTGGCTGGGTGGCCATATCGCTGGCTGGCTGTTGAGCGGCACTGAATCGCGCACGCCTGATGCCCGATGCTTGAGCCAAGATGCTTACGGATTGTGACACTGGTGTTGAAGCGGGGTTCGCCGACTTGGTTTGGCTCTGTGCGCCTGGGCGCGCGTGGCGCCCCCCCTCGTGTCTGGTGCGTCTACTGCGCACTATGCTCTACCAAACTGCGCCTGCTGAAGTGCGACGGCGCGCCCGACCAGAGGCCCCCAAAGGGCCCCAAGAAGGCTCCAAGCGGGCCCCAATATAGCCCCAATAATGCTCCAATAAGGCAAAGGAACAAACACAACAACACACACACTAGAAGGGTTACATGTCGAAGCCCCTCTTGTGCTGTTTTGTATTTCTTTGGGCCCTCTTGGGGCCCTCCTGGCCCCCCCTCTCGGGGCCCTCCTGGCCCCCTCTTAGCGGCCCTCCTGGATCCGCATTGGGCCCGCAATGGGGCGAGGCTGCAACTGCAGCGAGCGCAGTCGGGCCGACGCCCAAACGGAGGGAGGGGCTGGGCAACTGGTAACGGAGGGAGGGCAGACAAATGGCAACCTAGTCTTTCGTCGTCGTCGTCGTCATCGACCTCTCCTGCTCTTCTAAAAGTATCCCCAGCTCTCTGTGTCCACTCGGGATTGCGTTTGCGCTCGCCCCTCGTCGTCGTCGTCGTCGTCATCATCGTCGCCATCATCATCGGCATCATCGTCATCGTCATCACCACCGTCACCATCGTCGTCGTCGTCCCCTCGCCGCGATGTTGGGCCCATCCCGAGCGCAAATGCATGGGATGCACCGCGGCGAGACTGCTGCAGTCCCTACCCGAGAGAGTCAATGGGGCCACGGCGGCGGCTGGCGGAGCCACGACGACGTCGGCCCAAGGAGTGCGACGTCAATCCCACCACGATTTCAGGAACACTCAAGCACGCCAAATAATCATGCCTGGCGTGACACGGCCGAAATCGGCTCCAAGCTGGCTGGCTAAAGCGCGCAGACAACAGCTGCATAATCTCTGACGAGCTGCTCTGACCCCATGACCAACTGACCTCATAAACAACTGACCTCATGCACAGCTAACCTCATGAACATCTGACCTCATGAACAACTGGCCTCGCCCCATGAACAGGTGACACCACGAACAACTCACATCATGAACAACTGACCCCATGAACCAAACTTACACCATGAACATCTGGCCCCATGAACAACTGACCTCGTGATCACCGAAGCTAGAGCTCATCAGACATCGCGCCTATCGGTCGGCCAAGGCTGCGGGCTCGCTCAATCGCTGCTGCTGCCGCTGTCGCCACCCATGGCGGGCTCGCCGCTCTCGTCGGGGCCCTGGGGAACTTTCGGAACGAGCGGCGGCAGCTCGATCTTCGTGAGGAAGCAGCTCTTGTAACCGTAGTCGGTAGCGACGTCCTCGGCGATGAACTCCACAAGCTGGTTGCGCAAGTGCGTCTGGCGGCGCGGCTCGGAGTGGAGCACCATCTTGGACTGCTTGTGGACGGCCTCGCGCAGGGCTCCCCCTCGTCAAGTGGTTGCCGAAATGGCTACTATTCGTATCAGGATCGAGGTTCGTCGCCACGTAGATAATCGCATCAACGGTCTTCTCCTTCAGCTGGCGGGCGCGGTGCATGGGGAACAAGTCTGGCGCCGCTGACTCCACGAGCGAACGGCGAACCTTCAGCGGCAGCGCGTTCTTATGGTAGTAGGAGGCGCCGAGGTAGAAGTTCGACTTCGCGATGGGGGCCCCGTCGTCCACGCGCACAGGAAGCTCGCCAAACACGTGGTGGTCATCAGGATGCGCCTGAAATGGGATGTCAGCTCCGCCGTGCACGGGCCCCGAAGCCTGATCACCAGGCGTGAACATAGTGTCGATGGTTGTCTGGCCTAACATGTTTGCCTGGCCGTTCTTTGAGATGCCGAGACCCAAGCGCCCCTTGCCGACGCCACTCATGACGTCGTTACTCGAATCTGCTCGAACCCACAAACGGCTGCGGAATGTGTTTGTGGTGGCTGTAATGATGGCGATGGTGCCTGCGATGATGAGTTGATGCTTTTGAACAAAGTAACGATGAAGAATATGATGGTGTTGTGTTAAGGTTGCCGTAGCATTACGTGCGAACAGAAACCGAACACAGGGGGCTTGCAGGATAACCCCAGGCATCGCGCTCCCCCACGCCACCCCTTGCACGCTCACCCAGACCGCGGGTTAAAGACGTTCCTGGGCTCTTGTACACCAGTTTGCAGTTAGTAGCTATGCAACGTTATTAGATTTCGTCTGGGGGTTCTTCCGAAAAGGAAACGGAATAATCTCAGGAACCAGAGACCCGTACAATCAATGACCGATATAACAGCCGGGAATGCAAAGATCGGGTCCACGTGCTGTTTGAACGCGTTCTTGCTGCCCCTTGCACTGGCGTTGTTCAACGAATCGTCGTCTTTGATGCCGGCTGCCTCTGCCATTTGAGCATTTGGACTGGGCCTGGCTGTGCGCTGCAATTCAGAAGAACGCCGCCGCCATCAAAGACCGCTACAATTCAATACCGACCTACAAAGAGAGCAATACCGACCTACAAAGAGCATTGCCATCAAAACAACATGAGGGACGCCAGATGACGACACGGATTAAAAATCTCACCAACCCTCTGGCCTAACATAATCTGGCGATATCTTTCCGTCCTCTTCCAACGCCCTCTTCCCTTTGGGTGGAGATACCCTCCCCCTCCCCTCCCTCGGGTTTTTGTTGGGG